ATATAAAGTAGAAAACGACTACACATCTTACGATTACATATTTGAAAGAAAATGACTGCACATCTGTAAAAGTAGGAAATGATAATTCTATAAGACAATTACAATTTCATGAATGACCCTCAAATATGTACTTATCTCTTTGTATCATCTGATGAAAAATCATCACTTGCTAAAAATTATGATGAGTACTGTCAATAGAAACTGGTGATCCTGGGTCTTTGTCAATCTGTTCTTCACTGTTCATGATATCTTCTAGTCTCAATAATGTATCTCCTTCACCACTGAATGGCAAGAGCATATGCCAATTTTGATGAGACCAAATTTGTAAGTAGTGTCCTTCTGCTAGGAGTTTATAATTTTCCCAACGAAAACTTGGTGGTAGTAAATGTATTTTTTAAGCTGTGCATATATCTTCATTTGAACGATTCTGTAGAGTTCCAAAATTTATTTCTTGTTTGCATGATAACTTTTAAGATAGTCATGTAATACTGTTCTTTGGGTGATGAAAATCTTTTTTTCTAGTAGGTCTGTATGTATGCTCATCTACCGCTGGAAAAGAAGAAAAAATTTTGCACCCAATAATTGGATTGATGTTGTGAGAGGTGATGTTTTCGTCTGTTAAAATAAAATTTTCTCCTAATTTATTAAGAAGACTTTATGTGCTGCTATTAAGGCAGAATTTTAAGTAATCGATCATTCCATTGTGATAAAAGTTAATTATCTGTTCTTCTAGCATGTCTGTAGTCTTTAGGTTTATCTATAACAAGAGTATGGGAGTATCTTCACCTTCATCATTCAATCTTTGGATTACTGTAACTCCTTTATAATTGATTTCTTGAAAAGCAATTTGTATAATCTTCTACTGTAATTTATATAGAATTACTGGAAATTCTATACAAATGGTTTGAGACACCATTTACTCAAATTCTTTGAATTGGTCAAGTACTAGTCTCAACGTTTGTCTCCAAGGGAGATCTAAAATGCAAGCTTTAAAACATTTATAATTTTTGTATATTGTTGTTTTTAATTTTTCATCTTTTTTCTCATTCCTTTATATAAGCTGTACATTTTTTGCTTAAAGAATTTTTATTTTTGTTTCAAAATATTATTTTCAATATGGTTTTCTATATGCTGTGTATCTTTTCCAAATTACATAAGTTGTTGTAACTTAGCAATAATTTCCTACCGAGCTTTAATCATTTGCTCTAGACTAGTTTTTGCTATTTCTGAAAATGTTTTCACCTGTTTGGGTTCTATGAAAAAACTGTTTAACCCAAAATGTTCTCGGGCTATGTTCATAGCTACCTGGAAGCTACAACATCCCTTGTAAAGGGGATTTTGACACTGTATATATTTTACGATTGTTGCCCAATTATTAAAAATTCCAACTTTAGTGCCCCTGATGATAACATAATGTGTGAACTTCTTTTTTTGTTTTTCAGAGGTCAATGGTGACTGTTTATGAAAGTAAAAACTTAAAGCATTGAGAATTTGAACTTCAAATGATGAAGTATGTGGAACTGTCTCAATATACTATAAGTTGTCTAGCAAACATTGTTGGTCTTCTGTCAAGTTTACCCCGATCATGGGCCTAAAATTTTTACGTTCATCGAAGCAAATTAGTAAAGTTCAGTTACCAAATGCTATAACGACTTTCCTGTTCTGTGTATATTGTGTATTTTTTGAAGGTCCTGACCAACAATATGCATGTTGAATATTTTGAGATTGTAGTCTAGATCCTTACAAAAGGTTATGATTATGTGTAGTACTCGCTATTCCCATATAAGGAATCGAGTTTGGTTGTGTGGGTTTATGTAGATATTCTATTTTTATTGTTGAATCCAATAATTTTTCTGTTGACGTTGTGTTTCTATCTTCTTCTGAAGAAATGCTCATGGAAGATGAACTCCTTTTGTACTGTGTAGGTTGTATTAATTTTGCTCTTTAATTTGTTTTGAATATCCATCTGCAAAAAATAATTTGTTAATATTTCTAGATAGCATATCAGCTATTCCATTATTTTCTCCCTTTATGTGTTCAAAATTTATTTTATACCCACTTCCTTATATTGTATTTTGTAAATTAATCTATCGTGTCCTATTTATTTTCTTACTTTGATCATTTTTAATAAAACGAACTATAACTTCAAAATCTGTTATAACTATAAATTCTTTATGTAAAAATATTTTAAATTTTTTAAAGCATTTATTAAAGTTTGTATCTCATAGTCTATTAGAACTCCAATTCATTCCTATCTTATTAAAACTTCCACTAGCATATGAGCATAATTTTTATGTATCTTTTGGGCTATATTTAGCGGATTTACAAAAGAGAACAGAACTCCAATTCATTCATGTCTTATTAAAACTTCCACTAGCATATGAGCATAATTTTTATGTATCTTTTGGGCTATATTTAGCGGGTTTACAAAAGAGAACGGCTCCCCATCCTTATTTGAATCCATCAACTTCTATTATTATGTAATCAGTAACTAATGGTAATTCTAATGATTTGATATTTTTAACTGCTTCTTTGATTACTTTAACTAATTTAATGTTTTCTTGGTTGAAATATCTTTGTCCATTTTTTGTTGTTTTACTATATAATGGCTCAACTAACTTTTAAAGATTAGTAATAAATTTTCTCGCATAATTAACCAATCCTAAAAATGCTTGTATCTGTTTTAGATTTTCAAACTTTTGTGGGAATTCTAGATTTTTTTTTGTAGATATATGACTTTGTAATTCAGTTTTTCCATTTCCTATTTCTAAACCAAGAAATGATATTCTCCTTTTAAATAATTTTATTTTTCTTTTAGAAATAACAATACCATTCTTTTTTATTTCTTCAAATATTTTATGTAAATGTTTCTCATGTTCCTTTACTGTTTCACTGGCAACCAAAATATCATCAATATATACTAAACAAAAATTATATTTCAGAAAAATAATGTCCATAAACCTTTGAAATATAGATGGAACATTTTTAAGCCCAAATCTTAAAACATTCCATTCGTATTGTCCTTCAGAACATGTGAATGTTGTCTATGATTTAAAGTTTTCTTCAAGTTGTAACTGATTATATCCAGATTTTAAATCAAACTTACTAAAAACTTTTTTCTTTTTTATCAAGTTTAGTAAAAAGTCTTTATTAGGGATATTATAACTATCATCTTATGTATTATCATTTAGTCTTTTATAATTATAAACTATTCGTGATTTTCCACTTTTATTTTAAAACGATTTCTTACTATAAAAGCTGCTGATCTATGTGAACTTTCTGATTTTTTAATTAGTCATTGTTCTATCATTTATGGTATTTGTTTTTTTAAATTCTTTTTTATCTAAATGACTATATTCTATATTTGTTGTTCTTATTGTAATATTAGGATTTTTTAATTTAAATTTACAAGTATAGTTAACTTGTGATTTGGTAATATCTTCTTCTATAAGTTTAATTTTCTTTAAATGTAAAATTATAGGATGATTCATACTTTTGTTTATATCTTTTTATTTTTCTAACTCATGTTTTAAAAATTCTGTTAATAGTTAATTGTTTCGTTTTCAACATTTGTCCTACTTTGATTGTGTTTTAAAAAGTGTAGTTAACAGACTGTGTAAAAAAAATAAGAATTAAACTTATTTTTTTGAACAAAAAATCTAATGTATTTTTCTAAACTATTTTTTAATTTCATTTCTATTCACGACGAAATTTGAACATTCGATTTCAAAGAGAATAATATTTGATACCGTTGGGTAGAACAAGCGATAATTCGTGTAATTTAATTTAGATTTTAATTATCTTATAAATATGAAATACTTTAAAACAAATTAGTAAGTGTTAATAAAATTCGTTTCTAACCACAAACACTAAAAAACATATAAATAGTGTTCTTTTAACACCAAAATACAATTTATATTCCAACCACACTAAAAGTTTAGATCAAAAATATGTTTTCATATTATTATAATAAATAACATCTTTGAATAATACTAAAAGCAATGCATATATAATAAAATAATGCATTTATATTGAAAAAGTGATTTGGTGTTGGAAGAATGCTATGCTATACAGATCTTCCGGTATAAATGGTGATAGTTTTACAGGTCCGTTTGAGTAAAATATAGAGGCTTTCCACAATTTTGAAGATTGGAATTAGTCTAAGTTGCTTTTAATAAACATTTACGACTTAAACGTATAAAAATCAAACAATTAATATCGAAAAATACGTTATTAATAATTTAATATCATTGGGTTTTTTTCTCTAGAATTAGAAGCAAATATAAAAAGTAAATGTGGACAGGAGTTCACTGTAAGTAGCGTACACCCCAATCACACACCGTCGGATTAGATATTTGCGTTGAAATGTGAAGACCGTGAACTCAACTAACTTTTTCTATTCTCTTTTATTCCGACAGTCGGCGCAGACTGTTGCTCAAGCTCATCATTAAACCACCGTGACCTACACGTGCGCTAATTCACTTTTATTTTCAGTTTATCCATTTTATTTTATATTATAATATAATTTTATATTGTCTTATTAAACAAAACTATAATATTATTATATCATCACAAATTGATTCGAGGCAAGATTAAATTATGTGCAAAAGGATATAATAAAACGTATAAAAGCAATTTCACGATAAGAACAATTTCCACTGCAAATGGTACAAGTAAATGATTCAAGTCAGCTATTTCTGTCCACTCGAAACATTACGATACATGGACCAAAACGATTTGGCTCAGGTGCATTCACATCAAGAACAGCAACCAATTAATGAGCCATTTGTATGAAATCAAAGGAAATCTGCAGAGATTTAATGTTTTCTTTATGTACATACAGATCGATGAAGGATTTTTTAGTTTTTAGCATATTATCAGCGCATCAAAACATTATCAGGCTGCTTTAATCCTAACAGATTGAGTTTTTATCTGTTTTAAAATGGTTAAATCTGATCTAAAAAGCCGAAGAAGAAATGCAGAAAAGCAAAAACCTCTGTTTAGGCAACTTCCGGAGGAGGGAAATTGAGATCGAGATCGAGAGTTAGAGATTTCTCTTGTTTAAAATTCACGAATTGAGAAGAGTCGGAATCGCTCTGCTGCGCGAGGCTGCCGGTAGCGACGGTGAGATGAGGATCGCGGACGACGGATCTGTCCGATCTGAAAACGTTGAGTCGGTTGCGATTGTTATTGTTGTTGATATGGAGATTCATTTGTGAATGATACAGGAACATTGAATGAGGCATCGGGAACCCAAGGGGATAGTGCGAGAGGCTAAGGTCAAGTGCTTCAGGCGGAAGCAGAGCGGTAGAGATAGGCCCCGGCGACGGCGCCATCGAGTTCGACGACGCCTCAACCATGCTGCTCTCGCTAGGAGTCTTCGTGAGGAATTTCATTCCGCCTCCGCTGACGACGGCTGTCGGAAGCAACAAATCCGTAGGGAAAGGAAAGTTGGTTTTCGCTTTAGCGCCACGGAACTGACGAGCGGCGGAATCATATGCGCGAGCCGCCTCCTCGGCAGTATCGAAAGTACCAAGCCAAACACGGGTTTTCTTACCGGGATCTCGAATCTCCGCCGCATAACGGCCCCAAGGACGCTTACGAACACCACGATAACGAGTCTCTTTGCCGCCATTACCGGCGGCGTTGTTGGCGTCAGGTTTATCGCGAGGAGCCATGCCCATGGATGGGTAATGAGAAAAAAAGGGAAGGGCGACGAGGTTCGTTTAAGTAGTCGGGGGCGCGTGTGTGTTTGTGTGTGACATATTTGGCTCCTACTCCGCGGCCTAGGGAACAGCTTTTACACCCCACCCAAACTTTACATGTGAACATAAATTTAAATTTTTTTTTTCTTTTTAAAGTAATATTTAATTTCAAGCACTCCAATTATCAAAATATCATTTTCATCCCTAACCTTAAACCAATATATCAACAATCAATTTTTGAGTATATATTTCAAATGAAACTCTAATTATTTCAACACATGTAATATCAAAAAAAATGTAAATGTAATTAAAAGAATTGAAACATACAAGTAGTCTAATAAAAATTAAGACTACCAAAGTATGATATGGTTATTGTATTTCTCTAAAAATGAAAAAGTAGGAGCTACAAAGATTATGAATAACATGTCACAGATTCTTCGAGGAGGAAATAGCAAAAAGAAATGTATTAATGTGTTTGTTGACGATAATAGGCGTTCTGATTGCGTGGGCATAATGAGCTCACAACGGGGGACCCGCTGCCTCTTATTTTCGGACAATGAAATGTCGGTTTCAAAAGCTATCAATACGTGAATCATGTTAAATTCTTTTTATTTATTTATTTTTGTTGGATTTTAAAATGTAAGGTGTTATTTTCTTTTTAATTATTTTTCAATATTCATTTCTTTGATGATAAATTTCTAAAAATATAATTAATATTATCAAAATATAACACTTATTATTATTTCATATACATAAAAAGATAGAAAGATATATAATTTTTAATTATTTCATATTAGCCCATATTCATTGTTTGAAACATGTTAAGAAATGGTGATCGGTCAAGTATCAAGGATCAATTATAATTTTTTAAGAAGGGAATCAAAAGTTTCGATCCCTTAAAATCAAAAGGGTATCAAAGCTTTGAGTTCGTACTTCTTCATTCTTACTTTTATTCAAAATCATTGAATCACAATGAAATCAAAAGTCTTGAATCCTGAAACCTTCGAAAATATAAATGAAATTGAAAATCGAGTGAGGTTTGGAAATCTCTCAAATAAAATAAAAGGTATTAAACATTTTTTTTATCTATATGATACTTTTATGATATTGTTTAGAGGTTGTGTGGTATAATTTATATATTTTTTTTATTATTTTGAAATTTAGATTTTTTTTATTGAGAGTAATTCAGAAATTAGAATTCTAAAATCATAAGGTATTTTATGTCCTCAAAATTTGTTTATAAGAAGTAAATCGATTTTGTTTTCTTTCATCCTTTTTATTCTTATTTTCCTGAATTCGAAACAGCTTTGAGGTTAAGAAGTTTCCGATTTCATATTTTTTGAAGTGTAGATGTGTAGCACCTGGTTCCTGGTATGTAAATCTTATTTGACTATTTTCCATTTTAAGCCTTGGACTCGGCGAGTCATATGTCCGACTCGCCGAGTAGGGACAGGACTCGAGACACGTTTAAGTTAGCGACTCGACGAGTCCATATCCTGGACTCGGCGAGTCACCGCTGTTGGATGAAACCCTAAGTTTCAGGGGTTTGCACCCTATTTAATCCCCCTTTCCGCCCCCAAGCCAACCCCCATTCACCCTTAGAGCCATACACTTCGTTCTAAGCCTTGTTTTGTGGATTTGAAGCCATTTGGTGTGTCCTCTTGAAGATTGGAGTGAGTAGGAAAGGAGATCAAGAAGAAGAAGAAGAGGAGGTCAAGCACTTGTGAGCTATTTCAGAGTGTTCACTAAGGTATGGCTCGTTTTCCCCCTTGTCTTCATGCTTATGGCCCCATTAAAGTCCTTCATGACTCATTTTCCAAGCTTGTATGTGCATCGTATTTCGAAATAAGTTGATTGGCCTCTAGATCTAAGCATGGTTGAGCTCCAGGAGCTCAGATCTACTACCTTTATGAACCCATATTGCATGAAAACCTTAGATCTACTCTTTTGGTGCATTTTGAACCCTAAAACCCCCATAGATGGATATTTACACGTAAAGTTGGAAACTTTACGTGTTATTCATGCTCTAGGAGCCTAGATCTACGAATGACATGGACTGGATTCGAGCAAAATCACGTTTTCGGCTCTTGCATTAAACAGACTCGGCGAGTCGCTCATCGGACTCGGCGAGTCTAGTTGCGAGTCTCCGAGTTTGTCCCCTTTTAGCTATGTCGAGTTGTGTGGTGAGTCCAGGGTGGACTCGGTGAGTTGGAAGCCAAAACTCACCCATAATGGAACTTGACGAGTCGATGTCCAAACTTGGCGAGTTCAAGGCAATCTCCTTAGATCAAGATTAGACTCGGCGAGTTGTTCATACAACTCGGCGAGTTGTTCATACAACTCGGCGAGTCACAGTATAACTTGTTCATCAGATGAAGATGAACTCGGCGAGCTGTTCATACAACTTGGCGAGTAGGATGAAGGACTTGAACATCGGTTTGGAAGGAGAACTCTTCGAGTCAATGCCTAACTCGACGAGTAGAAATAGAATTCAGGTCAGACGTTTGGACATGGACTCGGCGAGTTGGCGAGCCAACTTGGCGAGTCGGGTCAACTGAAAGTTGACTCTGACTTTGACTTAGGGCATGATCAGGGGTAAAATGGTCATTTTACCCAAAGGTCGGTTAGCAGGTTTTGAATAAGTGTTTGGTGGGAATTACAGCCGGAGGATTTCCGGAGCAGCAGCAGCAGTCAGACTATTCCCACGAAGGTCAGCAGCTACTCCGAGGTAAGTTACCTTCCAGTAGCGGTGGGTCTAAGACCACAATGCCGGTTCACCAGTAGGAGTTGTATGTTAGATGATTGTCTTTGTGATATCATCTAGGTTTGCTAGTACCTGATATGTTATATGTGATGGGTTTTCGCCATAAGAACTTTCCTATGTGCGCATGCAAAACCCTAATGCTTGGATCTAGGCTTTCTAATTAAACATGCTTTGAATCCAAGACTTCTAATGGCTAATTAGGTTAAATAACAACATTGAAACAGATCTAGAATCATACCTTTGAGTTCCTTGTTGATCTTGTTGTCTTGGAGCTTCTAGAGTCACAAATGTCACTCCTCTAATGGCTTACAAACACCAATAGCAAGCAAGATGATTTAGGAGAGAAGAGAGGGGAGGAATTCGGCCAGAGTATCTCTACTTTAGATGGTGTATCGAATTCCGTCACCCCTAGGGTCTATTTATACTTGTAGACTCCTTAAGGGTTACAACCTAAACCCTAATTGGATAATCTTCTTTAAGGCTATCCAAATCCATTCCATAGATAAGCCTTTGGACGATTTTAGCTATCCTATATCTCATAGAATTCGTCCAAAGCATATCCCAATGGATTTATAGTCTAAAGTTTAACTATCAAACAATTGACAGTTTATACCCCTTTATTTAATTAATCTCTTTAAGTCACCAAATTAATTCCAATTAATTTATGACTTATATTAATCAAATAACCATATATTATTCCTTATAATATTTACTCTCTCTTAACAAATCATCCATCAAGTTGCTATGGTGAAGGCAACCCAAAAGGACCATGCACAACCGGATCAAATACTTGCCTAATATAGTTGCAGCCTTAGACACTATTCCAACAGTCTCCCACTTGGATAAGTCTAGTAACTATACAAGTACAATTCGGTTTGCAATCGTAGCTCTCAAAGACGCTGTCAACTCTGATCTAATCAATCTTGTCCTTTAGATAAGGGATCGTACAGTCCTCTGTTAGATATCATGCTGACAATCCTATGGAATGGTTAGTCAAGCATTTAGATTTCTCGATCTCTGATTTATTTGACATAGAACTTAATCAAACACATCAATTCAGTTCTGACCGGGCCCGGCACATAAGTCAAATCAAATCATCGAGTGGCCGAGATATCGCTTTTACCTTCTTAGATAAAAGTTACAGATAAACTTCGACTTATATGCATTTACTTATTCATTAACCAACTATACACAACAATGCGTTTTATAACACCGAATTACTGATGCGTTTTCGCATTATCAATGTACAATCAATTAACAAATAATAAACCATATATCTAGGTTTTAAGACTATATGATATTATCGTCTTGCGATCACCTTTTATATCGTATTCCATAAGGTGATTCCAGCAAGCGCGGGTTTATTCCAATGCTCAAAACCAGTTCATAAGCACTCATGAACGTTGCAGCAACCCTTGCTATGTCTAACACCATTTAGACATTCTACACACCAATTCATGACAATCTTCATTCATATCTACTCCCAACATATGAACGATTGTGGACCATTTGAATAATTCGATTATTCCTAATAAACTCAATTATTCTGGAAGTCAAAACATGCAAAGTGAAACAATAGTTAAACAATTAACATGTGACAGTAACTTTACTCATAAATAAAACTCCTTTATTTAATCATCAAATGTTAATTACATTTATCTATTATACGTTTCTAACACTATCTAATCTATACTAATATCATCCTTCAGCCCAATACTCCTAGCATGCTGCAAGTGCTTAACCCTACTCAGTCCCTTCGTAAGCGGATCTGCTGGGTTATCTTCTGATGATATCCTTTCACTACGAGTTGTCCTTCTTCTACACGATGTCTAATGAAGTGATATTTTCTGTCGATATGTCGAGATCTACCATGATCCCTCGGTTCCTTGGTCAAGGCAACCGCACCTTCGTTATCACAGAAAATCTCCATGGGCTCCTTTATGGCCGGCACAACTCCAAGATCACCAATGAAGTTCTTTAGCCATATTGCCTCCTTCGACGCTTCGCTCGCTGCGATGTACTCTGATTCGCACGTTGAATCAGCTACGGTTTCCTGCTTGGAACTTTTCCATGTCACTGCTCCTCCATTTAGGGTAAAGACCCAGCCCGACTGCGAACGGTAGTTGTCCCTGTCGGTCTGAAAGCTGGCGTCACTATACCCTCGCACCTTCAAGTCATCACTCCCTCCAAGGACTAAGAACCATTCTTTCGTCCT